CCTTAACACAGTCTTGAGTTGATAAGCATTGTCAAGGTTCGGCTGGCACATGTACTCGTATCAAGCACCGCATCTCAATTCCGCCAATCTATTTTAATTGTCGCATTTGAAGCTGTTTGTTCGACTGTTCTTTAATATAAAAAGTCTCGCGAGACTTCCAAATGCTTTGCATACAGATGATTATTTTATTTTACAGTTACAAGTAATATTTTATCACAGTTATTATTACAACTATAGCAAGTCCAAAGGTAACCTAGATGACTTTAGTAATATGGATTGAGTTTTTCCTCCTAATATATTATTTTGCTGATTATTGCAAGGGTTTTTAGGGTCCCGTTTTCATACCTGATTACTTTAGAAAATAGTATTATAGAATATAGGTATTTAAACAGTGGAATTCCACTTGTGTTACGACAAGAACTTGGCCAGTTGTTATGTGTTAGTTCTGCTGTTGAACAAAAACTTTGTTCTTTGTCCCTATGTGTCAAACTGTCAAACTTTGTGTTTTGACACATGAGTTTCTCTGATATCTAATATCACATTATATATTATTTCTATGTACTATTCTAATATGTAAACCAAAAGTGGCGTACCTAGAGGATTTACTATTCATCTTCATTACAGTCCATCACAAGTTCACTGCTAAACATTGTTTTTCAACAATTCGCCGTTTCATGTTGTGTCAGTGTTACGTAGATTTTTTGCGATAATTATTAGGTTCCATTAAATACATTTAGCATTAATTTAAGCTTGCGAGCTCAGTATGTTACTTGCATGTCATTAAGACATGAATAACCGTTTGTAAAATTTTTGTGTCTTTGGAGTGGCTGAACCAATTGCAATGAAACTTTACTAACGGATAGAGTAAAGGTACAATTCCGTAGCCGACTCCAGACAGCAGCAGCAAGCGACGTGTCGTCACGACGCAACTGGTTTCTGTGTAGTTCTATGAAATACGTTCCGTGGCTAGCGACACGTCGTTTATTGCCTAACGGCAGACGACACTGTAGCCCGACCGCAGATCAGTGGTGCCGCCGACGCCCGAGCAACAACATGTTGAATTTTTCTTAAAAAATGAGTTTCATCGATTCCGAGGAACAGAAACTGATAAACCAAGCGGCCCAATATCCCGCACTGTACATTTCCTCACTTCCTCTGCATTTCAACATAGAATGTGTGTCTTATACTTGTATAATAAAAGCAAGTCATCATCATCTTCTTCCTCTTCTAACAAAACATACAAAAATAAATTGCGATCGCTAATTTCAAATACGTCAGACATCATGTCCCACTGAACACTCGGAACAGACTTGACACGGGCTGCTGCCGTCCGCAGTCGGGTTCGGATTCATGACTGCAGCGACATAACGACACATATCGCAGCGACATGTCGCGGCGACACGTCGCCTGCTACTGCTGCCTGCAGTCGGCTATGGAATTGCACCTTATAGTCACGGTAATATTATCTATACAGTATTGTAACTCAGCCGTATCTTTCAAATAAATGCCTACAGCCGTGCGGCACGTAAACATGTGAGAGGGCTGCCTTTTTTTTCCATTTAGTTTTATGATTGTAATATATACTTTTTATATAAACAAATAAAATAGGTACTTTGTGAATTGAATAGGAAGTGTTCAATAAAAATGCGTGTCGTTTTTTTGATTTAATCGGTTAAATAAATTTGCGACCGAAAAATATTTGCACCTCGGCTGAGACTTACGAAATGCTTTATTATTAGATTTTTAAATATAAAAAATCCGCTTTCTAATATAAAGCTAAAAATAATATAAATTAAAAATTGTTTTGGGAAACATGGACAACGTGGAGAAAAGGAATATCTTTTATATAATTGGTTATAGATACCTGCAGCTACTTTACAATTTATATGTTTGTTTTTAAATGAAGTTCAGATTTATTATTTCTTTATTTCTATTCTATTATTTATTTCCTCCATTTTTTTTAAATATATTTCACAAAATCATCACTGCGGCACAGTCTCGACTGTCTGCATGCCGAGCGCATGCCAAGATCGAGGCGCGTAGGTATAGCTCTCGCTTCGTGCGTTTGTATGAAGTTGGAATACTGTATAGATAAAATTACCGTGTTATAGTTCATAAAAGATAGCTTGATCTCTGCGACAGCTGTCAGTAAAATCACGCCTATGAAGTCCTGAATTTCTTAGTAGTACAGACAGTACCTGTCAATGTCATACTTTATGGGCATGCACTAATTAGGTCGGCATGCCCATAAAGTATGACATTGATAGGTACTGTCTGTAATACTAAGAAATTCATGACTCCATAGGCGTGATTTTTACCGACAGCTGTCGCAGAGATCAAGCTATTTTTTATGAACCATAAGTCAAAAATTCGCCGTATCAATACTTTCCACTCAGGCGAAGCCGGTGCGGCGCGGCGTTCGCTTGTTTTATAATAAACTTGATTGTTGACTCTTTAATGGTCGCCACACACGATCAGTTCAGCTGATCTTTCTAACTGACCAATTCAAACTAAAACTGATGATATTTTTTACAATATTGGAATTTCGATACAAGCGTGTATGGCGTCCATTAATCCCACTCCTAATGAGATGTCAGTACATATCGTGTTTCAACACTGAATGAACTCTCAACCTATCGTAGAAAAGGAACGTTAATTTTATATCGCAATTTATTTTCTGTATTATTTACTTATCGACAAGACCATTATTTACACACTTGAGCTCAGAGAATTTATGATCGTAAAGTAATATTATGTCTATCCTTCTTTATCCCTCTTTTGCTGCATTGTATATATGGGTTTTGTGGTATAAAGTATTTTAATAGTAAACGCGTTCAAAATTACGGCCTTTTATGTAACATATTTTTATACTCGTAAACTCACTCATTAAAACCTAAGTGGTACTTCCTGCTACGGCTAGAATCGTGAAATTTAGCGGGTAACGCGGTGTCACTACAAGTGAAAAATCAAGGGGGAAATTTATATAACGTTGACTGAAAAATAACTGGTATGATCTTGATCAAATATGGGTCAAATGGGATCACACGAGAAGCACCAGCTAGCTTTCAATCGTCAAAATCGTTTCACCCAGAAAAAAGTTCTGAGGTAAAAAAAATATACAGTCGAATTGAGTACCTTCTCCTTTTCGAAGTCGGCTAAAAATGATTTCTCTAACTTATCAAACATGTCTGAAATATTCGGCAATGGTTGCTTATCATCGATAGTGATCTCGTTCCGTATTTTATTTCGCCTGAAGAGCATCGAACTTCTTGGGGACTAGATGGACAGATGCACTCCATGGCGAGTGAGATTATTATATTGACGTCATTTCGACCTCTTTCTGTATTTCTTCATTTATTGTCTGATTGTTCCATTTATTGATGATTCATGTACTGTCTATAGGGTCTATTGTTTATGGGGTATTTTTAGTACGTATTTTGTGCTTTACACTGTTGGTAAATGATATCGTCACAATAAAATACATATTATGGTCTAGATATTCATAGCACAGCTTTACAATACACGCGCGTTCTTCCTTAGAATTTGCAACCCTAAAATTCGATGAATTACTGGGTAACATAACAATAGCGGGGCCTACCTTTTATTGTTTGAAATTTTGGTTTTATTTTATTTTTAACATTATATGGATTCATGAAATTCCTTTCCTCGGTCACAACACTTAAAGCGGCTTCTAAATTATCACACTAACTAAGGCGTACAATACGGACGGACTAAATCCTCTGGTACATTATAGAGGAATACCGGTTAATAATCCTTCCTCTCCATCAAACTTAGGTATAAGAAGTTCCATTTTTATTAAACTATTTTTATTCAAGGATATATTCTTAATATTTAATTATTAAACCAAATTGTACAAAAATATATTGCCGGTGAATGTGCAATTTATTTTGTTGACCACTTTTACCGAGCAACCAATTAAAACAAGTAATAAATTATAAGCTTTCATTTTTTTTAAATAGAATAAGTGTGACAAACGAGCACACAGTCCATCTGATGGTAAGTGGATGCTGTGACCCATAGACATCTACATTTATCATCCCTTTATTAATCAAAATACAGATGCGTAGTCAACCCTGAGGACTAACATGGAATGCCTCGTTTACAGTAAAATCGGTCTCCGGTTCTCTACACTCATCATACGAAACACGACCGCATGAAGCTGCTATTTGACGCTGGTATTCTGTGAGAGCGTGGTCCTTCCCCGGTCGAGCCGACCCATTCATGCTACAACCATAGTATAGATAAGAATAAAAATAATTTTAATATAGATTACAAGTAATTCTTATTGAAAGTCAATATTTTATGTTACCACTGGTTCGAAAAAAATCCTCTGTCCTGGGAAGAACCAGCAAGAAACCCAGCGGGACTATTTTTAAAATAAATTTTACAATGTCAAGGGTCATAAAATATTTACAAAATTAATTTTAGAAACAGCTTGGAAGCGACCACCTCATTTCCGGGGGTTATTATCAACCATGTATTCATTTATATAATAATAACCCTTTTTATACAGTTTGCTGCCTCTTCTATATATAAAAATAAAATAGCGTATACATTGCCCCAAGAATGAATTACTGACTCGTGAATTCGAGAAACTGGTAGCACCAGCTTGTTTGATATAGTAGATGGGTCCTCCTAGTAAATTTAAAAGAAAACCTGTGTCAGGAGTCCCCGCTCCTCCTTATCTATAACAGTAAATAGGAAAGCTTAATGTTCTTAAAAATAATTGAGATGTAAATATTAGGGAAGTGCCAGAGTAATAATAATGCCAAAATAATAAATAAATAAATAAATAATAAATAAACATAAGCACCAGTCTCTCACAACGTTAGGTCCTTACTACATTGTTATTGTTAACTAGCCAGTAAGAAGTTGAGGAGAGATCAATAAATAAATAAATAAAATAAAATAAAATAAATAAAAATATAACTTAATCACAATTTTATAATGTAGTAAGTAATGTTTTATATTTTTTGCAGGAAGGAGAAGTGCAGAGCGGGTCCGCAGGATGCCGAATGCACCGCGCGGTCCTCCGCCCATATTAATATCGCCTTATCGCCTGCGATTCCATAGGAGACCTATCTTGACCCTCAAGTGCCCTTAGATTAGTGTAATTTTTTTACACCACTTTTACACCAACCTAATTAAATATAAGTAGGTTACATATAGTACACACAGTGCTAGTGTTAAGTATTCGCGCGCGAGTGTATATTATATATATGTGTTGATGGTGTGTCCGACATGGGAAAGTCCTCGGCAAGAACACATGGTCAAGGTAAGTGAATTTCAAAATGTCTATTAAGCTAACTTTATATTCTAACATCTGTGTCGTGATCGATCGAACGTTTTATAATTTAATATTTTTGTTGGCAACATTGCCATACATACAGATATTAGATATGTGGTCCTTTATTAAGTCCTAATACATATATAGGAGTACTTTATGTTGCTAAGTTTTTGAGCTTAATACGAATGTTATGAAGTTATGAATATACCTTAAAAATATGAATTAAAATACCTCGTTTAGAAATTTGACTGTATTTTTGACAACCATTTGCTTTAGTGAGTTTAATATTTACTCGGGCATTTTAGAGCGCTTTTTTGGTTTTGAATAGATCTTACTAATTCTTGTGTGTGTAATTCGCACGTGGACACTTTTTAAGTTGAGCTTTTTTGAAGTAAAAATTCTTGCACGCTTGACTTGGGGAATAAGCTGGCGAACCGTGACGAAAGCGTTACGAAAAGTGTGATCGGGCGAGGCGAACAGGAGTTGAGTGGGGGATATAAGCAAGAGAGAGCAGTGTTCGCGCACATTATCATTCTCTCTTTTTCTCATAGAATAAAATTGTAAATTCATTTTAAAGTTCATCTTTTGTGAATTTTCGGGTGAATAATAACAAATTATGGAAGGAAGCCGATAGTAAATTTAAATATTTGTACAAAATGAATATATGATATACATACAGGTGGAGCTAAAGAAGTTTTACTTCACTCGTGTGGTCATAAGCACACTCGTTTTTTTATCGGTCCATGCTCTTTTTTAGCTTAGCAGCTTTTGCTGAGTCCGTTCCGTCCGTGAGGCTATTCAATAACCTTTGAGAGAATGTCTGGCCAATCACATATTTGTGTCTTGCAATATTATTGTAGGTCAAAAATAGCCAGTCATTCGTCAAACGTTTTCACTGTCGTCCTGAACTACGTGTGACTAAAGAGTTTTACATGGTATTGTCTCAATTATTTACAAAATGTAGAAATTGGTCTCTTAATATATCTGTGTCGAGAAACGTATTGGCAATTTCAGTGTTTGTTTGAAACAACCTAAGAACAAAGCGTTAAAAACTAAGCGCTTTTTACGCAATACTTATGCTAACGATGCCTTATTTACTAATTTGCTTATTAGATAAAAAGTGGTTAATTTCATGATTTTGCTGAATTCAACCAGGTTCGGATGTGATCGCATCTCAAAACTCAAATACGATAGGCGAGAACAAATTGCTTTTGGACGCTAATACAAATTTAAGAAACAGTAACTTAATATATTACATTACATATTACTTTAGTGGCGACAATTTTTGGCTGTATGTAGCACCTAAAATTTAATCTTTATTCTATCTAATACATAAATGCTTCCATACTTTGATAAATATCAACCAAGTTGGTTTAATGCCCCTGTTACCAGCCTTTTAGTACCAATTTCAACATAAAAAAATCATGCTGTTTCAATAAGAGCACATTTTTTATATACTTGTTTTTAATCAATAGACTATTTATCCAAAAATGATTGTTATTAATGAACATTAATTTAAAGGCGTATTAATCCAAGAACAATTTCAAAAACGATGATGAATAAAAAAGGCGTAACGGCTCAAATTCCAGCTGTCCTATACCAAAAGTTGTGCTTTTGTGTACCTAATGCCAGCCTAGTATAGGGTTTTATGCCCTTTGAGTTTTTGATAGGTTAAGTTTTAGAGACACGGTAATAAATTTGTGACAACTTCTAATTTTGAAACATGTCACGATCACGAAATAAGTCGAATTACAATAATTATTTTATTTTATTGATTTACTACGTACTTCCTTACTGAATTTTAGTTTTGAGAAGTTTGATTTTTCTTTTAATACTAAATAATTAATTAAAGCAAACTATGAGAAAATGATGTATTGTTATTAAAATTAATCATCCAAGTTTTCAAATCATCATCATTACATCTTTCAAGAAGTCCACTGCTGAACAAGGCTTCTTTCACACATTGTCGCACACGCTCCTGAGCCACTTTGTTTTTCGTGAGTTTTCGCTATATAGTACTAAATTTTACTTTATTATTTTTGTCAATCTCAAAAAATATTTAAAATTTATGGCTTTCTTATAATATAATTTAACAAATCTCTGATGGAAAATTAAGTACATTTTTAGCTAAACTTTTAAATCAAAAACCCATTATAATCCTTAGTTTAAGGTGTCTTACAATAAAGATTAACTTATATAAATTATATAAAGATTAACCTATATTTATTCTTGCTAGACCGTATTCCGTTGCCTACATGTTTTAATTTTAAATGAAAGATATAGTATAACTGTATGGTAATATTTTGTACCTAATATACTTTCATCTAGTTATGATGACTTTTTTAGTTGACGATATTTATAGTAAGATTAGAAATCTTATTTATGAAGTAAAAAGGTATTATGGGCGGTGTTGGTATTAGGGGCATTCACACTTGTTACGTGTACAAGAGGTCGTATATTCATTATGGTTTAAAAAAGTCGATATAGTGTTATGATTATATAGACCATTTTAATTAAATTATTGTTATTTATTATTATTTAAGCACCTACTGTTAAAAATGATAAATAAATATCTTTTTTTACTTATTATTAACCAGTGCTTGACCACAACCCCAGCTGGTGGTAAGTGGCGATGCAGCTTTAGATGTTAAATCACACTGTCTTACCGTAACAAAAGCCTCTTGCCTTGATTGATTTCGGACAGATAGTATTCGGACAGATAGATAGACGCTGGCAAATTATTCCACTCCTTTGCTGTACGCATCAAAAAAGTCGAATCGAACCGTTTGGTTCTAATGCGTGGAATATTGACAACAAAGAGGTGAAGATCCGCTGACCGTCTGGTCGTGCGATGGTGTAAAGGATAAGGAGGATTAAAGGCGTGCAATCCCTGCGCACTCACCGAAATACATCTTATAGAATACCGAGAGGCTGGGTACTATGGGCCTGTACTCGAGGCTGACAAGGTTGGTTTCAATCAAATATGGTCACCAATGAGGCTCTTAGCACGCCTCTCCACTGAGTCCAAAGCTGCCAGGTGGCATTTTGCAACACCAGCGCATTTGTGATGACAGCAGTACTCCGTGCACGACAGGACTTGCGCTTTAAATAAGGTAAGAAGCTGCCCCGACGTGAAGTACCGCCGCACCCTTGCAAGGACACCAAGTTTCATTGCGGCTGCTTTGGCTCTGGATTCAATGAACCGCCCTTAGTGTAGGTATGGAGCAAATTCAAACCCTAACAACTGAAGGAGGTCAGTGTACTCCAAGTATATATTCTGGAAAGTAGGAAACAGGTTGAGTGGGCTACTTTTAACAATGAAAAGACACACTTGTGTTTTGGAGGCGTTGAATCTCACGAGAATGGCATCGCTCCATTCGGAGACTGCCTGTAGTGTGAGATTCATACGCTCAACCATAACTTCTCTTTCGGACTGGATTTGATCCGGATAGCCCCGGGCACATGGTTGCTATCTCCTCACAACTGTGCTATCGTCTGCATACCTATAGATACCGGGCATAAGCAGGTCATTAATATGTAGCAGGAAAAGAGTTGCGGAGAGAACGGACCCCTGAAGTCGCCACAGGATCGCATGAGCAGCCATTGACGACGACCCGGAGAGACATTCCCTCAGAAAGTCCTTTACCCATTCAATCAGACCAGGGTAAAGAAGTAAAAATCTGTCAAAGGCCTTCGAGACATCAAGCAAAGCACCAAGTGCTTCCACATTGTTCTTGCGTGCCTCGTCCCATAAGTGTGGGGTATACGCTAGAAGATTCCCAACTGACCGATCACGGCGAAATCCGTATTGCCGGTCAATAAGGAGGTCATTCTGTTCTAGGTATGCCATTAAGCGGGCGTTTAATTTATACGCCCCATAGTTTTGCAGAGTATGGAGGTAATTGAAATTGGCCGATAGTTGGCTGCGTCGGTACGGTACCTCTTTTACGCACAGGCTGCACATTGGCCAGCTTCTAAGATTTCTATTCCTATTTTACTATATTACTATTCCAGTCCTGAATGAGAGGCGGAATAAGCGTTAAAATAGGAGACGAAAAACTCAGGTGCATAGACCTTTAGAACTATAGCTGGTATATCATGAGGTCCACGAACTTTGTACACGTCTAGACTTCGCAAGGTTTTAAAAACCTCCTTGTTGGTGATACGGATCTCTGACATAGAGGTACCGCATTGAAGCTATGGCGATGGTACGCTGTTGCTACTGTTCAGACGCGAATTGCAAGTCAAAAGAGAAGCAAATAAGTCCGTTTTCTCCTTAGGCGCATGCGCCATTGGGCCATCTGGTTTTATCAGCGGAGGCAGTGTAGACCAACAGAAGTTTGTTTCGACCACTTTGGCGAGAAACCAAAAACTCTACTGCCAGATGTTTTGACAGAGAGCTTTGTACCGATGCGTTTAATGCGGTCGAAACTGGCTTGCCGTAATGCCTCTTTGTAAGACTTGACGTCTCGGTTAAAGGCTCTCTTCTTAAGGCTAACATCCGGAGCTTTGCGGTCTCGAGCATCGACTCAGGATATGTACGCCATATGCTTGTGCTTTTCGGCACGAGCGCACTCGTCATTGAACCATGGTTTTACCACCAATAGGCACGTCACGTAAAGGGGATGAAACACTCCATCGCTTGACGTATCACATCGGTTATGCTATCTGCGCAGCTCGACGGACCTTCAGACGAGAAGCAGACCTGTTAAGGATAAGATGCAAAGAAATTCCGCATCTCATCCAAATCTGCTGACTTGTGTGACACCGAGGAAATAGTCGTTAG